ACCTGTGACTATGTCCCCTTCCACGCTAAGAGGGATGTGGTCACATACAAGACAGCCAAGGATCTTGACCAGGGCCGCCATGCTGAAAGATGGGGGTAGGCCTAAGGCAGCCACAAGGTCCCCCTAAGAGATGCAAGAGGACTTCTAGAGGCCACTGCTGGCTTTGACAATGGAGAAAGGGATCAGAAGCTATGAACACAACCTCTGACTAGGTGGCAAAGACAAGGCTAGAGATGGTAATTCCAGGAGAAAAGAGGCCTGGTCCCCTTTTTAAAGGACCACTGACTTTCTAGAGTGTATGGCAATGAATTCTATGCCATTTGAAGCCACTGTGTAAAGATAATAAACATTCACTGTAAAATGATTTTGCTCTCGTTCTGTTAGGGATGTAATTAGCATGCAACAGATTAAGAGACAAAGCAGCCCGAGCGGTCCCCCGTGGGCTCCATGCCACCTGGGATGAGGACTTCCACATGTCACACTCACAGCGGCCACACACTGGGGACAGGCGAGCCAGGACATGTGGTCAGGAAATATGTGACCCTGGAGCCTACCCTCTCCAGTCCTCTCCGACAGATCTGCTGCATCCTGAATTTCCTTAAGGCAGGGAGGAGTATGTAGCAGAACAAAAATGAAGACCACGGCTAGAGACTGAATTTTTGTGTAAAAAAATTACAACCATTTTTTTATCAGATTTAGTAACATCTATTAAATTCTAATAAACATAGCAGCAAAATATGAAACCGAAGTGTCGGCTTTTAAATACCAACGGTGTACTTTTGGTCATCACCAAATTTTTGCATTCCTTTGTAGAAATACTGTGTAGCTGGGCAGCCCTGAAAACAAACATGGCCAAGCTGAAGGCCGGGTTTCAGTGAGACAGTGTCACATGATTTAAGACATATTTTCTACCCGACAAAGCAGAAGGGGAGCAAACAGCACAAAGAAAACCGTAAGGATTCTTCCCTTAAGGTGCTCACGGGACAGCGAAATGAGCAGAGTGAGAGGCCACACCTTAGAAACCAGCGCAGACAGCATTAATGGCAGTTATGTGCCTGCTCCAGCTGGGGAAGGACGTACCGGGGTGAGCATCTAAGGACGGAAGCCAGCAGGCCTAGAGACAGCTCTTAAGGAGTCTTGACCACGCAAGCAGCATGAGACTCAGGGCAGAAAGCACAGAAGCAAGCGCCTCCTGAGACCGGAGGTCAGAAGAGGGAGAGACAGAGGCGGGAGCCAGAGTGATGGAGAATGGAGAGCAGAGCACACCCAGGGACCGGCACGTTCTAGGTGGGCTGTCCTGTCCCACCACCTGTGGCTTCCACTGCGGCCACTGGGCGGAAGAGGCAGGCCAGCCAGGGAGACCCAGACGACCCGGTCCTTTTATTCAAGGAAACGGACTTTCTGATACCTTAGCTTCCGAGCCAATTTTAAGAAAGGTAACTAAAGCAAAGCAAAATTAAGAATGCCGGATAGCTCAACTGGGGAAGTCACAGGACAAGTTCAAAGGCAGCAAAAAGGTGAGTATGGCAAGCAGCTGCGGGAAAACAACCAACTGCCCACCTCCTTTCTCCCAACTCTGTAACATTTAAACTGAGCTACAAAAAGAGACACTGGTAGGGACTTCTTCCCGCAGAGAGAGGTCTCTGGAGGGAAGGGTCATAATGTGAGATAAACGGAAAGAAAGCGCCGAGGTTTGGGGTGAAATTCTATTTCAAAACTAATTCACAAAAATTAGACTTTTCTGTAATCTAACTCCTTCTAGCTGGGAAAATCATAGTGAATGAGCACCAGAGGTACACTAATGTCTGACTGAAAAGCAGCAGGCTTATGGCACTGACTTTACGCAGATGATAAATCACAGCATCTTCAGAGATTAACAAAAGATAAATTCCAGGGAAATCACTAGCCACACACTGACAGAAAGATAACTCTTCTTATTACTGTTTTTCATTAAAGTAGGTTTCTTCACTTCAATTATTCCAATACCAAAGCCTATAAATCAAAATCTGAAAATCTCAAATCACCCAAACCCTGACCTAAAATTCCTTTAGGTCACTGAAAAGATGAAGTCTGAGGTGGCAAACCTTTTATTTTTGTTTTTTATTTTTTTTGTATTTTTTGTACTGGTACCAGGGATCAAACTCACGACCACAGTCTTGCAAGGCAGGTGCTTATGCCGCTGTGCTAAGTCTCCAGCCCCTAGCTGGCAATCATTTTAGGGCTTTCAATGACACAAAGGGCCCACTGTGCACACATGCCATAGGCTCCCCACTTTGGGGTTAGGTCTTCTTGTTAGGGCCTAATTCACTGCAGCTAACTAGGATGGCAAAATGCCTATGATTTAAAGCAAATATATTAGATACCCAGAGCCAAAAGTCTACTAAGGATGCAAATCTCATATGTGAGTCTCTCAGCCCAGATGTCTAAAAAGACAACACATTCATAATTTAATTTAAATTAATGGAAATGGGGGCTGGGGATTTAGCTCAGCGGCATAAGCGCCTGCTTTGCAAGCAGGCAGTCATGAGTTCGATCCCTGGTACCGATAAAAAGGAAAAAGACAAATAATAAATAAATTAATTAATTAATGGAAATGCAACATAACAGGCTATTTAACAGACTGACTTCTGTGTACTCTGGAAATGTTCAGCCTTCAACGAATTCAAAGAAATCATTTGAGGAGCACACAAAGGACCGTGCAGGAGGAAGAACCGGAGGTGTCCAGAGGGGCTCCTGGCTCTTAGACCGCATTTTCCCTGTCTAGCTGATGCAGTTGTCACATCCAGAATGGAAGACTTCCCTGAGCTACGCAAGCAGGCTGTACACACCCAAAAAGAAACCAAGGTTCACAGTCAAATTAGTGGGGAAAAATAGTTTCCACGCATTCCAAGACTTCAGCTCTGTGACCTGGTCGCACCTGTGCTCCGCTTAGAGAAGGGTGGTGAGGGCACTCTGGGGACGGGCAGCTGTGCTGAGGTCCTAGAACAGCCAGGAGCCTGGGAGACAGCGAGGGGTGTGGCCCAGTGTCTATCCAGAGAAGGGATGGATGGAAAAGCCCAAGTCCCAGCTAGAAAAAGTCAAAGCAATTCAGTGACGGGAAGGTTTAAAGAGAAAATCATTTTGGAATTGTTCTAATGTCACTGGCATGAAGAAACAAGAATTCCATAATTTCTTCTGCAAACAAGGACCTAGGACTCCTCACCCAGCACAGAGGACTGCCTCCCGAGGGCCAGCTTTGCTTCTATACTACACAAGCAGTGACATCCAATTGTCCACCTGGAAGAGTAATTTTCAACAGAGGTTACATGTTTGGCCCCAGGGGACACAGTGAGATTTCTGAGGGTCACAGGTGGCAGGGTAGGGGCCACCATCTAGGGGGCAGGGCATCAACCCAGGCAGGACCCCCCCCCCACCTGCCCTGCCAAGAATTGCCAGTCCAAAGGCCAAGAGTGCTGGTTAACAAACGCTGACCCTTCGGCTCCCAGTGGAAGCAAAACCTACTTTTCAAGAGAGCAATCCTACAGGGAACTCCTCCTTTCCCTGCTAACCCAGGTGGGGGCTGGCTTCAACCGGGGGTCACATGGAAATGAACCAGGATGACGAATGCCACCCAGCAGGGGGGCAGGGCAACTACTGGCAAAGAACTGTTCACCCTGCTCCTGTCTGGAGCCTTCATTTTTGTATCGAGAACATGCACTTCCCTACAGGAGCCCGCACCTGGCCCTGAATCAAGTCTCGTGCCTTCCGTGGCCCATACCCTGACAACACCCAGCCTCCTCAAGACATAGTATTTCTTCCCAAAGCCAAGACTGAGGCGGAGAGTATTTAGTATTAAGACATCTTTATGCCACAGGCTGTGGAGGGTGTAAAAAGCCACCTGGATCTTTCAGATGCTAAGTTATTCCTTAGTTGGCTTACAAAATGACTCAGGTCATTATTACTTTTAGTCATGCCAAGTTTGCTTCTTCTAAGCCTACTCGCATTGGAGAAGGTTAAAAAAAAAAAAAAACCACCATTTTTCTGCAGTCATTAAACCAATGCAACAACAGACGCTGGTTGAAAACAGGCTCCTGCAGGTGTGATCCGGTTTCTTTTCTGGTTATCACCGTTAGGAAAGCGCAAATGCAGGCTGGAAGGAATCATCTACCTAAACACCTAAGGGTCTTGGAGGAAAGCATGAGAACAAAAGGGAAGCGCCGGAACCCCGGGGCTCCACGGCGTCTGCTGTCAGCATCTTTCCTCCCAGCGCACGACTCAGTCAACACCCCAAGGATCTCCAGCTGTCCACATTTTCCCGGTGCACCCCTCAGTCAAAGCCTGCGCTCCTCGTCTTTCCTTCCGCTTCCAGCAACGACTCGGGTTCAGGTAAGAGAACATCGTCCAGAAATAACGCACGCGGCGTGGGGCCGGCGAGCACGAGCACAGAGACAGCGGTGCGCGGGTCTCTGCATCCCAGAGACCCTTGAAGCTCTCGCCGCGCGGTCACGAGCACCCCAACTTCGCGGTGCGCCCACTCAGGGGGAACAAAGCCCGGCGCAGCCCGTTCGGCTCCCCGACATGGGTGAACGCAGAAAGCACCGCCGTGGGCGTGGACGGGGACACGTCGCAGCCCCAGGAGACCGGTCAAGGCGCACCGGGCGTGGTACCAGGAGGTCCCCGCGTCCTCGGGTCTCCGATCACCTCCATCTCTGCCTGCACAGCCGACCTAAACTTCGAGGGCCCGGGTGCACCAGAGGCGCCGGCCCAAAGGGTCAGGCGGAAGCCGCCCGCCCAGAATCGCGGGGACTCCAGGGAGCCCAGGGACCCCGGGGGTGCACAGGGACCGGGAGATGAGCGCAGGCCAGGGGAGAGCGCAAGGACTTCGGGGCGCACAGTTACCAAGGAGCCGCGGGGCCCGGCTGACGCGGGGACCTCGGGGCGCCCAGGGACCCGAGGGGAGCGCGGGAAGCCCGGGGGACCCGCCCCGGCCCAACCGTGTCCGCGCGGCCCGGCCGGCTCACCGAGCAGCAGCAGCTTGACCTCGCGCGCCGCCTTCTCGCCGTCCTCGCGCAGGTTGCGGTCGATCATCTTGCTGCGCTCCACGGCCGCCTTGTCCTCGGCGCTCAGCGTGCAGCCCATGGTGCCGGCTCCGGCTCCGGCTCCGGCTCCGGCCCGCCCGTGCGGCGCCCAGGTCCGGCCAGGCGCGCTCTGCGGAGCGGCGAGCACCCGCGCCCGGGCCCCGAGCCGAGCCGGCGCGCGGCACCGCCCGGCCCGACCGCGTCCGCGCGCCCCGCCCCACCCCGCCCCGCCTCGCCGCCCCGCCCCCCGCGACCACTCCGCGCGCCCGCGCGCCCCGACCCCCGCGCGCCCCCTGCCGTCTAAGCCCGCGCGTGGCGGCGCCGGGGGCCGCGGGTGCGTGGATCGGGGCGCCGCGCGAGGCCGGGCGGGGAGCGGGGCCCGGGGCCGCTTCCTGCGCCTCCCTCCTCCCCGGCGCCCCTGCGTGCGGCCGCTCGACCTTTTGTTTCCGACTCGGCCCAGCACGTTTGGAGGGATTTCTTCCCGAGCTTAGCAAACGTGAGACAAAGGACGCGAGAGTCTGTTTGAAAACGACGAGAGCAGCACAACGCAGCCGCGTGAACAAGTCTGCGCCACCGCCGGGGCGGCTCGGCTGCGGGGCGCACGGGGCTCCACGCGGAGCAGCCCCCTCTGCCGCTGCTGAGACCCGGTCCCTTCCCCGGGCACGCTGCAGACCCACCCCCCTCCCCCGCTTAAATGCTGACGGGCGAGAAGATGCAGCCGTTGGCAAAGAAAACACTGCGCCTGTGGTGTATTGAGAAGTGGGAGATTGCTCTTTGGTTTCCACCTGGAAGTCTCTTTTTTTTTTAATAAAAGTCCTTTGACAGGACTGGGCTTGAGATCCCTGAGAAGGTGGGACCAGACCAAGCTGGTGACAGGCAGAAACAGCCGGACCAGGCCTGATGTGGTCAGGCCCTCTTTCTGGGAATGTGCCTTTTCCTGTTCTCCTGCTAGGGTCAAACTGCTGGACTCACCAGATGCAGTTTAAGGACTGACTCAACCTTTCCTACTAAGGCCCCTCACAATAAACAACAGCAGAGAGCTTCCGCGCGGTGATCACTGTGGACCCTCTGTGATTCCTGGCATCCCGGCTGGGTCCTTAGGGACCGCCACGTCAGCACGGTGTTGGGGTGCTCAGCTTTGTCGCCATCATGTCCTCTTAAGTCATAGTCTGCCCTAGAAGTTTCCAGGTCAGTCATGGTTGTCATGGAGACCCCTACAGAACATACTGGGAGGGAAAGTTGTGGCCGAATTGCATAGGTGACTCCTGTCATGTGACAAGCTTGTCAAGTAGGTGAGTTAAAATGCAGAGAAGGGTAAGAAGTGTAAATCGGCCATGCACGTGGCAAACCTAGTAGTGGGGTGGTGGACGTGGGAGGGTGACCCAGGAGGGAAAGGCCTGGTGAAACACAGGGGAGAAGGTCGCAGGGTGGTCAGTGGGGGCTTCCGAGGGCCGGGGATAGGTCAGCGTGGGCCGCCTGACCACGCTGGATGGCGTGAGCCGCTTGGATGCCCAGAGGTGTAAGGTGAGGAGCTCCTCCGGGCTCTCCCCGGCCACCTTCTCGCTGTGTCCTCGCAGGACTTCTGCAGAGGGATTTGGAGAGTCCTACATGGTCCGGCTAGATCAGACATCCCTTGCAGGAGGGCTCTAAGCAAGAGAGGCACAGGGAAGATAGCAGTGATTTGTCACGGGACTGGAGTTTGGCTGTACTGACCGCCAGGCATTTTGGGACAAGCTGTAGTAGGGCTTTAAACAGGAAGGTAAGAGTCAGACTCCTTGCTGTGAGTACGGAGTGTCCCTCAATTCCCTGAGCTGAGTGACAGGGGAGTTTTTGCTTTTCAGAGATCTCCCACCACCATGTGGAAAGCAGATGTGTCACGGAGAAGTGGAACCCACTTGTGAGGAGTAAGAGATTTCGGACTAATCGCTTGCATAAGTACCACGCTGCAAAATGCAATTCCACAGCTGTGTCAAGGGTGTGGGGCAGAGTCTGCTGGATACAGGGAAGGAGGTTACAAACGACAGAGGTTAAAGCACGCTACTTCGGAGCACTGTTTTCTTCCTTCTCCACATCATGTGTTTAACTATTTTATTGAGATTTAAATCATGGGGCCTAGGAATATAGCAGGGTAAGCCCCTGCCTGGCAGGTGCAAGTTCCTGAGTTCAATCCCCAGTACCCCTCCCCTTAAAAGATTTAAACCACGGACCATAGAACTTACCCCCTGGAAATGAACAGCTCAGTGGCTTTGAGGAGATACACAGGGCTGTGGAATCACAATTGTAATCCACTGTCAAATGTTTTCAGCACCCCAAATAAAAACCCTGCCTCCATCAGCTGACCTCAGTCCCCATGGGAGTCCCTCTTTTCCCCTGCCCTGAACAACCAACCGTTGCTGTATGCCCCCCCCCCCGCCAGTTACACATTCTTGACATTTTATATAGAAGAATTGGCCTCATACAGTCTTTTGTAACTGACTGCTTTCATTTAATATGAGGTTTTCAAGATGTACCCATGTTGCCGCATGTCTCTTCATTTCTTTTTATTGCTCAATAATTCTGAGCCTTCTGCTTGGTGAATTGGCCACATATGTTGAGAGAAACGAACACAGTCACTAGGAAGCATCGGGTTTTAAATGAACTCTAAATTGCATCACAAAGAATGATTGGAGAAACAGGAAGTATTTAACAGAATAAGCACATATCGGTCTGGCCACAAGGTAGTCTATTTGGGGGGGGGGACACTGCTACTGCAAATGAAACTTTACCTTGGTGTGAGGAAAAACGGTGTATATTTCCCATGCAAGGATACAGGAGACTGCACATCCTCTGTGCTCTCCGAATATGAGTATCTAGGCTGGAGGAGCTCATGCTGGGCTTGGTCTAGAGAGGGTGAACCTCTAGGATCTCTTCCAACCTGCAGCTCCTGGATGCCTCAGAAGGCAAACAGCGCTGTGTCGGCACCGAGACAACGTGGAAACTCCTGCCTTCCAACACTTCTACTCACAGAAATGAGCAAAAGCAGAGGCGGAGAGTCCGCTGAGGTCCCTGGCCTTGATGTTTTCATAGATTTGTGTGAGGATGAGGAGGGACATGGAGGAAAGACACCAAGTCAGGAGAGCTGGGAGTGCGTGGAGAGAGAGGACAGAAAGGAGGGAGAGAGTGGCCAGAAGGGCAGCCTGAGACTGCGGCCAGTGTGGACTGTGGTCGTGACCTCTCCATACTACGTTCATTGTGGTTTTTCCCTTCAAAACGCGAGGAAGGAGTTCACGGGGGCAAGACAGGAATATTTATGAGGCTGCAGGAGGCAGCGTGACGTTCGTGCTGTCACATTCTGGGACAAACGTCCTAAGGCAATACCATTTTCACTATCGATGCACTGAGATTCTAGACAGTAGAAACAAAGAGCGGTTGAGTTAGCACTAAGGGACCCTCCCACGAGCAGCACTGCAGGCAAGCAGGTCCCAGCGGTGTGGCACAGATGTCCTGCGAAAGCCATGGCACAGCAGGGCCACACCTTCTCAGGGGTGCCCGAGCCCCAAGAGGCTGCAGCTCCCGGAGAAGCACGTGGAATTGGACATTTTGTGTCCTGACAGATGCTACACTAGAGGGAATATTCAGTCCTGGCCCTGTAGAAGGTCAAACAAACATGGAGAAAACTGAGCAGCGATACCAAGCGACAGGTAAGACTTCAAATAAGTGTGAATTTGATGTCTCGATCTGCGGATGACTTTGGGAGACTTAATTTCCTGACGAATCAAGGACGGCTTCAAGCACTGTCCACGAGCCAGGGTGCAGGGAAGACTAGCGCCACAGATAAATAAAGCAAAGGAAAAAGGGAAAGAAGACATCACGGGATCCTGAATACATCAAGAGAGAACCAGAAAAAGAACTGGTGGGTATGATATGGCAGGGTCAAGAATCGAGGCCAGCCATCAGGTGACTTTGGAGTTTTTCACCTACATACCTGTCTCTGAAAGTCCTTTTAGCCTCCAGTTGCAATATCCCTAAGGATACCTACGAGTGTGCTGAATTAGATCATTCACGGGGCCCCAGTAATTCCCAACTTCTATGAGTCTATCATTTGAACAAAACAAGATGGTCGATCAATAAAACAAAGCATTTAATATATTCTTATGAGCTACAAGAAAGTCTTTCCACGGCTGTCCCCCAAATTTGGGCACCAGGGACCTGTTAGGTAGAAGCCAGTTTTTTCGTGGACCAGAGGGCAAGGGGGTAGACTGGGGTTGAATCAAAGGAGCTTGCAATCTAGATGCCTGGAGTGTGCGCTTCACAGTGGGGTTCAGGCGCCTGTGAGAAGCTGGGGCTCCAGGGGTGACGGCAGGCACCAGGCACAGTAAATACAGGGGCAGCTTCGCTCACTGCCTGCTGCTCACCTCCGGCTGTGCAGCCCTAGTGCTGCGGGGACCCTGCCCCGCCACACAGGAGCAGGGAGGAAGGAGACCCAGAGCTGCAGAAGCCAAGTGCAGACTCGGATGCTAGCAGACTGTGTGGTAGACACATGGGCAGGCAGATGGGGAGCTGGCTTCTGTCGCCGCTTGGTTTCTTCCCGAGCATTCTGCAGGACAGGGAGAGGGATTTCATGGCACTGAGAAAGGACACGCTTTCCAGCCCTTCCCCCACCCTGCTCCTCTCACTCCTGCCAGCTCATGGCCACCTTCTCTTCCACCCCAGGAGACCATCGTCTGTTGGCCACTTGCCTTTTCCCCATCCTTTGTGCCATCCTGTGCTGGTTTCCCTCCTCTCCTGTGCTCCCCCTGTCTGGCAGGGTGCTCATCCCGGGCACGGCCCCTCGAGGACCCTCCACATTGACTCCCCTGGCACAGCCATGAAGCCGCCCAGCCCGGCCCGTGTCTGCCTCTCTGCTCTGCTCACCTGGAGGAAAGCACAGCCGTCCATCCACAAGCCACGCCACTGTAAGTCCAGGTCAAAACTTAAATCATTGTGGATCTTTCCTTTCCCCCTAACACCTGTGTGTTTGATTTGTGTTCCTCCAAATATACCCATTCTATTCATCACACCCTCATTCAAGGTGTCCATGGAACACTGTCACAGCTGCTGTCTGCACCTTCCGCTAAACAGCCATAGTCTAAAGATACCTAGGTATCTGTTCACTTTCCATCCTCATGGAAAGTTCTTCCAACATCCCACAGGCTGTGCCCGGCTCCCCATCATCTCTTTCCTACCCATATCATTTCCTGCCATTCTTTTCCTTGTTCTGCTTGGTCAGCCTCGTGGACCTTTGGGCTCATCCCTGCCCTGCCAAGCACACTGGGTAACAGCGTCTCCCTGCTTACGTTCCACCTGCCTAAGACACTATTCAGCTATGTGACTGACTTTCACCTTCATTTCATTCAAATCTCAGCTCAAAAATGTCACTTTGTCAGAGAGGTATGTTCTCTATCCACCCACACATCACTCTTTATTCTTTTACTATGCCCTGTAATTTCTATATAACACTTCTAATATAGTATATATTTTTTGATTCCCTGTCTTTTCTCGCTTGAATATAAACTCACAGCAGCAGAGACCTTGCCTGCTTTGTCCACTATTTTGTGTCAAATACCTAGAACATTAGAATCTATAGCAAATGATTGGAAAGCAGGCACCGGACTGAGAGTGCAAATGTAGCCTTCTAAATCCATAAACCCTGAAGACTTATTGTGAGCCAGGATCTGTTCCTAGCACTGAATCGAGACCATCATGCTAAGTGAAATAAATTGAACCCACGAGCTTAACTGTCATGTGGTTTATCTTCTATGAGAAATGCAAATTATAAATAAAGGGCAAAATATAAGATAGATAACAGTAAGGAGGAGATAGATCTTTCCACTGGAGGGGAATCAAGAGATGGAGTGGGGATGGGAGAGGAAGGGATGAAAAATAGAATTAAGAAGTGTTGTGTCCCTGAACCAGCTCTACAAGGAACACAAACACATACTGATGATACAAAAAAAAAAAAAAAAAAAAAAAAAAAGATGGATTTCACTGAAGTGGAATCGGCAGGAGTGATAGGAGTGATAGGAGGGAGACAAATAAATCTATAAGTAGATCAATTAAATGGGATAAAATAAAAAGAGTTTTAAGTGCGAGAAAGATGAAAAACAGAATGTTTCATTAGAGAGTGCACCAGCCCAGGGCTTTTGAGAAGTAGATTCCAGAATGGAATTAGATGTGATTCTGACTTGTTTGGGGATGGGCTGTGAAGCACAGAGGAGAAGGTGTGCAAGAGTAGGTGGCCCATCGAGGGGGAAAGAGGAAGGTTAGTATGGGAAGAGCCTCAGTCAGCGGTGCCTCTCTGAGTGCATCCCAGCCAGGCCCTCCCGGACCAGACCGCTGTGCAGTTGGGCTCCAGTGAGAATTTGTCCTCCAAGCAGGCCTGCGATGGGCAGAGATGGAGAAAGTAGGCTGGTCTAGTATCCCACCAGCTCAGTCTTAGGTTGGGGCAGCCAAGGAGTGAGCACCACAGTGGACTGAAGGGCCCAGCTGGTGACAATCCACCAAGAAGGCTCCCTTAGACAGTGCTCTGAGCAACGCACTTGGCTGACAAGTGGGAGCTTGGACTTTTACAGTGGGAGGGTCAGTGGCGTTTTCCACAGAGAAATGGATGATAAGAAATTGGATTTGGGAGCAAAGGTCCAATCTCTTTTGTAAGCAGAATATAATTGCAAAATCCCTAGAGTAGATGTGAGGTTAGTTTGCTGCAACAATCCAAGTTCATCTAATACCATACAGTAATGAGATGCAAAAGGGAGGACCTAGGAGAGGACAAGCTGCAGAATAGGCAAGGGCCAGATTTCTGTAGAGCTGGGTGGGCACAATAGAGTGGATTTATCTTCAAGTCACTCTGCATTTATTCTCAATGACACGTGTGCCAATTTCCTCTGTAATCTGGAGACACCGGAAGTGCCGCCATGATTTAATAACCGAGGAGTGATGCAGTTCCGGTACCTCGTGGACTCCGCAGTGCTGCTGGCTTTCTGCTTTCTGAGATTAAAGACTAAGAAAAATAGGAGAGAGAAGGCGATGAAAGGTGGAGGGGACAGCTGGGCCTTTGGGGCCAAGAGGAGGACTGTGGCTAAAATCCCAAGGGGAGAAACTGCTTTCTTCTCCAATTCATGATAAAGCTTCCACTTGTCGCCTGATGGGTGATGATAACATTTTATGTATATTTTTGTGATTCCCATCTGTCTTGTTTTTTCGTGATTCTCATGCTTCCTACTTAAAAAAAGAAAAGTCTAGGAATAAGGACATGTCTTCCCTCGTCCCAGTGTGTTTGACAATGCCAAAATTTCTGAAGTTCTATTTTAATAAAGGATCAAAAGCCCTGGGCCAAGCGAAAAGTCTTTTTTTTTTTTTCCTTCAGTGCTTCTCAGAGAAAGAGCTACCTGGCTTTATTGAAGCCTGCATGTTTATTTACTATGTTGGGTTAAAAAATAGCTATGTTGACACCTCCCCCTCTGTTTATGCTTCCTGCTGGCTCAGCTGTTTCCCTTTCATGGGAGCTCCAGGGTTGAGCTGTGAAGCTGACATGTGTCTCTGTTCGGCTCAGCGGGAACTGTAACAGAAGGGCTGCTGGAGGACCTGGGGTAGGAGCCAGGCCGGAGGGCTTCATTCCTAATTACTGTTAGCAGCAAGATGAGTCCAAATAACAGCACTGGGGAGCTCGGTAGGCATGTTCTGAATAGCAACACAACACCTTATTAGTCCACACATGGATGAGGTGGAAAAAGGGACAAAATGTGTTATAGTAAGTTTTTAGGAAATCAGCTCACTGTAAAAGTCCAAGCTCATTGAATGAGGGGAAAATTATATTTAGACTTGAAATTATTTATGTTTTCCACATACATAGCCTCAAGAGCCTGCAAATGTGGAGACCATCAGCCAAACAGTGGAGATCCCATCCTCAATCTCCTGCAAGAGAAGAAATCAGAGCAGAATAGATGTAGTCACACAAGATCCTGCCACCTCTCCCTTCCCCGGCTCATCCTTGTCGCCCTAACACCCAGGAAGCACGCTGACTATTGCAATAGGCCAAGGTCATATTGATCTCAGGACAGTAGCTTCCTCTGAAGTGACTCCCAGGCTCCAGGATCTCCTCCAGCTTCTGATTTCAAGGGGTTCAGATCCTGGGCGTTGAGGGGCTGCTCTTGCATGCCCTGCATGGCCTGCCTGGATGACACGCTTCCCAACATGCATGCTAAGCACATGGGCCCACGAGATGGAAACTCAGATTTGCCAGGAAGAGCTCCTTAGCCCTTACACCTCAGTCACCCTAATCCCTCATCCTTCCCCTTCAACCTTTAAGCTTCTCTCCTCATCCTACTCTGCTCCAGATACTTGGTCCTACACAGTTATGAACATAGCAGTAGTGATGTTTGTTTCTTTGCTTTTGCAGGATTGGGAGTTGAATCCAGGCTTTTGTACTGAGCAACATCCTCATTCCCAATGCCCCTTCAGCTTCATTTTATTCTCAGACAGGGACTCACTAAGTCAATCAGGCTGGGCTTGAACTTGTGATCATCCTGGCTCTCCCTCCCAAGGTGCTGGGGTCACGGGTGCACATCACCAGGCCCAGCTGTGTGTGGTATTTTGATCTACAAAAATGCTCCAGCATTTTTAGGCAACAGCTCCTTTGGGGATCCTAGAAGAAACCAGGTAGGCTGGCAGGGTACTTTCCAAGCATGTCTTGATCCTAGAAAGGAAATGTCTAAACAATTATCTGCCTTTTACCTTTACCTCTAACACCTCTTGGGACAGATGGAGAGCACGGTCGTACTAGACAGCACCACTGATCATTCCATTTCAGCGATAACAACAGAACACGGTTCTGAGAAAGTAGCTAAAAATTACAAAACAGAGCCAGATGGTTGAAAAAGGAAAGCTAAAGCGAAGTACAAATCTTTCTTAGAAGGTCAGCTTCTTTGAGGTGATCATTGAGGTGGCTTTTTAACATAAGGCTGAGGCAGAAAATGTCAATAGCACAGGGACACAGTGAGCAGAGAGCTGCTCAAGGACGGTGTGGTGATTATGGTCTGTTTATCATTCATTTTGTTATGGGCTTTATTTCTCTATGTTTGTACCACAAATAGACATATGACGTAATTCATGGCTTTTAACTGGAATTTAATTCATGTGTAAAACTGACCGTTTTCATCTGAAGAATTCAGAAGTTTTTAGTTTATTTGTAATGTCATACAATCTTTACCACTAATTCCAGGACACCTTTATCACCCCAAAACGAAACCAGTTTATTTTCTGTCTTACACATTTGTCTTATCTGCACTCTTTGGAAAAATAGGATCATATAATATGGAGCTTTTTGGGTCTTCTCTTGTATTTTACAGTTTTATACATGTTGCAGTATATAGAGGTAATTTTTTTGATAAATAACATTACCTTTTTTTGTAGGAGGAAATCAAACTCAGAACCTTGTGCTTGCCAGGCAGGCATATATGCCACTGAGCGATATCCCCAGAATAATATTATTCTATTATTGGATGTGCTATATTCTATGTATTAAGTCATGAGTTAATGGAAATATGGGTTGTCTTTACTTTTTGACTATAAGTATTGCTGATGTGAACATGCATGTGATTTTTATGCAAGTACTGATTTGAACCCAGCTTTTATTTCCCATGGGTGCAGAGACCTGGGAATGAAGTTGCTGAGCCATATGGAAACCAGGTTGAACTTTTATGGAAACTGCCAAGCTCTTTTCCAAAGTGACTGTACCTTTACACTCTCACCACCAGGGTGTGAGCCGCTGAAGTGGTTATTTTCCAATACTTAATTAGTCACCCTGCTGTTAAAGCCATCAGCAGACTTCATGTGTCACTGCAATTTCAGACACGAAGAGGAAAAAGAACACTGTGAACTGCATGGTGCTGTGTTGCTACTTGGTCTTTTTTCTTTCATGATTTAAAGATTTTTCTTTAGTCACATCATGCTTACTCATTAGCAAAGGACTGTTACCTATCCGAGGCCTGGTTACACTGCCAAAATTAAAGAAATAGAGATTAAATGAATTTCTATTCATGACTGAGTAAAAGGTGATCTTAGTGGCTTCTGCTGAAGAACTGAAAGCATTTCATTTAATGGCATGTGTACTTAATTCTCGCTTCCTGCCGTGTCCAGCAAAGCCCTGGGAGGGAGGACAGTGGAGGATGAAGAAATGAAGACTCCTGGTGGATGAAGGTCTCCTGGTGGGTGAAAAAAGAACCGCCCAGTGACTGTAGCACGTTTATGTAGACACTCAGCAGGTTGCTGTCAGAGGAAACCCCTCTGCCTAAGAACTTGCTCACCTGGCTCACCTCAGGCACCTCCTCTCTTGGGTTTGGAACAATTTGTTCCCTTAGCTCACCTTGGGTGCTCTGCGTTCTCAGGGCTGGCCTTGCTATAAGCCCATGTGTGATCTATCTCCAGCTCAGCTGCTCCCCACAGCCACCCAAGCAGCTAGCCCAGTAGTATTTAAAAGAAGGAAGTTCCGTGCAGTCTCATGAGCCTGAGAGGGAGGAGACATATTGGCTTTACTTCTACTGTGAGGCCTTTTTCTGAGAAGACTCTGGGTGAACGACTGTCTCCAGTTTCCTCATCTGTCCAGTTTTGATATCTGTAATTCCTCCTCATGTCATGTGGCAGGTTACAGTGCATACACATTTCCAGCTCACAGTCAGCTGCTTTGTCCCTGCCATTCCTTGCACCCCAAGTGTCACATCTTCTGTCCCTCCTGTGGTGTGCTGCATGTCCCTTTTGCCACATACTGATTTGGTTCAGATGTAGTGAATTTTCCTCCCTCAGGAAACATCCACCAGGAGCAACTTTAATTTCTCACATGGAGTATTCTCATCTCAAAAGTATTTGCATGTGCTTTTTAGGAGGGCAGCTGTGTACCACTAAAGAGAGTTTTACAAATTCCATTCTCCATGTAACTCTGATGCACAGCATTTCTTAGGTTGTTTTGCTATTTTATTGTAGCTCCAGGCCTCTTTTTTCCTATCTTTTGCCTTCCCCCTCCCCAACCTTCTGAGGAGCAAAATCCCTCGCACTGATTTTCCTGCAGCCCAGCACTCTACACACTTTTGTTCTTGGAATTCATCTGCTACCAACACCTTAAGATCTTACTTCTCTTTCCAATGGATTACCCAAGTGTCTCTCTTCCCTCTCGACAAAACAGCTCCACACCTCAGAGAAATCCTGTTTCTGCCTGTTAAAATAACATTTTCTCCCTATGTCTTTCACATGTGAATGGAATTTGGAAAGTTAAAGAAATAGTGGATGGCTGAGGGACTGTGTAGTCAACATCCCCTGTGTGGGGAAGAAGAGAGGAAGGTCTCTCTTTGCAATCTGTTGGAGAAGAGCAGTATTCACCCAACAATTTATCTCATCCTTGATTTGAACAATCTGACAGAGCCAGACTCTGAATTTGCAGCTAGAAGTTGAAGAAAGATGAGGGTGTTTGGGTAGCTGGGTCTGTAATTGTATCAGTGAATCTGTGGACAGCCACATTCTCATTCAAGAAGAAGCAGAACTCTTATCTATAGACTTTTTTAATGCTTCAGACTAACAGAACAAATGAAAGAGAGGTGAGAGAATTCTTTCTTAAGACATTGATTTCCTGGGGCTGCTGGTTTCAGTATCAGGAAATGCTTTGGGTCTGCAACCCTCTTTCCACCTTTTTATCCCTTCCATTAGTTGAAGGTAATTTCTGTTGCTTGCAATCGTAAGATTTCTAGTATAAAAAAAATTTCCAAACTGAGGGCTTGTGACTATTAATACTATTAAAATTGTTCTATACCTCCAGCAAGGGTTTCTCTTTATTTTCTCCAAAAAAAAAATGTACTTTTGTGTTTTGCTTCATTTGATTCTCACAATAATCCTCTGAAGCAGGCAGCATAGGACTTTCTGTGCCCAGGTTAGCAAGGAGGACGCTGACCATCAGAGAGTTCATTGACATGGACTTGCTTGTGTGATCAGTACTGGCTGAGACAGGGAAACAAGAGCTTCTGGGTGCTTCTGGGCCACTATGGAGATAACATAAACCGAAGAGCCTTTTCACTGAGGTTCAGTTTACTTACGTAAACGGTGTAAATATTGGGAACTGAACACAATTCAGATCACAATTACTGTTCATTGAAATTGACTTAAGATTATAGTAAAATTCTGATGCAGGATATAAGAGGCACCACGATGCCAAAAGAAACCATAAAAGCAGCTGAAGTACCCTGCTCTTAAGCACGTAGGTCTTATGATTCCTCATATAAGGAACATAAAGACAGGGATTCGGTGTGGTATGACAGTAGTGATGTTGATTGTGTCATTTTGTCCTCCC